TTTGGGTTTTTTTTTTTTTAGCTCAGACTTCCTGCACAGCCCGAAAAAAGTAAATAAGTAGCTTCCAACCTCCTGGGAAGGTTCCTTGCACTAAGGGAGCTCAGGTCCCACGCAGCCCCTGCCCGCTCTGCCGGGAGAGCCGGCCAGCAGGGACAAGAGTCCAGGAGGGGAGGTTGTGCTGATACTTGGATAAACCCGGCCGATCGGATATCAAAAGCGAGCGATCTCTGCCGGTTACAGCCATCGGAGGTGCGGCTTGGCTCTGCCCGAGCAAACATTTCTGCTGGGCAGGAGATCAATGAACCCATGACTCCGCATGGCTCCTCCTCCTTCCAAAAAGGAAAACTTTGATGTTCCGGAGCCCAGCCTGCCGCGCTGGACCAGGGAAAGGTGGGGCGGGCGTTCGGCTCTGCTTGGGAGGGATTTTGGGGCGCTCCTGTCCGTCAGGGGCAGCCTCACCGCGAGTCGAGGGAGCAGGAAAGGCGGCTGGGACGGGCGGGAGCTGCCGCTGGGCCAACACGTCGTGCTGATGGTGAGCCTGGCGTGGGACACCCTGGTCCGACGGGGTGAAGCAGGTGGGGAGAAGGAGAAAAGAACTCTTGTTTCCACCTGGGACGCCGGGTCGTGCCTGCTGCACGCTGGCACGGTCCCCAACACCCTCGTGGGTGTAAACATGCCGTGTATTGACATTTACAGCAGAGGTTTTGCTCCAGAGTTGGGAGCGCCCCTGCCTCTTGGGGAGGTGCCAGAGGAGGAAACAGAAATGTGGAGCAAAGACCTCGAAACCAGCTCTTTCCTTGTGTTTTCCGGCTGGACTGCGGGGGACCAGGAGGTGGGCTGGCAGCGCTTTGGGTGACACAGGGAGGCTGGCAGCCACGTGCGAAGTGCGATGCCGGAGCAGGGGGGCTGGCTGGGCAGGGGCTTTCTGGAGAAACTCTTGGGCAGTGGTGGAGATGAAACAAATGGGATTTTTCACCTGCTTCTGCGCAGATCCTGGGAGGCTAACGGAACAAGCACGGCAGGGC